GAGTGAGTGAGTGAGTGAGTGAGTGTGTGTGTGTGTGTGTGTGTGAGATAGAGTGAGAGAGAGAGAGAGAGGGTGGGACGCTGCAGTGATGCCTCCCAGAGGCCTTGACGCAGACAGAGATGGAACAAAGACATCAGTGTCATCCACAGCCCCCAAGATTACTGAAGGTGGGACCCAGCCAGAGACCAGGCTCCCTCCAGCACTGGGGCCCCAGGCCCAGCTCCCAGCCCCGCCCAGATGAGGCCAGGCCCTGCCACTACAAGCTCCCCACCCTCCAGAGGACCAGAGACAATGGGCAGTTGACCCCCCTAGAGGCCAGCCACCATGATACGACACATGTACACACATTGACTCCCCCTTGCCTTTGGTGTCGGCGAGCAGATGTTACAACAGACACACACAGTAAAGGAACTAGACTGGTCTGCGTTCAACACAACTGCACCCAGCAATTGTTGTGCCCTCTCCTGGATGCCCCACCAACCCAATTGGCCTATAGGTACCCAAGAGCTCCGGAGGTACAGACCGGACATCCCAACGTGGGCTGATCCACCCTACAGGGCGAGATGGTCAGGCAGGTGAAGACCACCCACGTACAAGGAAGGACTCAACCAGACACCAGGCAAACTCGGGTACTGAGGGCCCAGGCCCAGCACCCAGCCCCATCCAGATGAGGCAAGCCTCCACCGCTACAAGCACCTGAAGCTCCAGATCTCAAGACCCTCAGGCAGCACCTACCACAGTCCTTCAACGCCACCAACCGAGGCACACCAAAACAACAACTGCAGCTATCCAGCTCCCAGGAGGCCAACAGGCATCAGTCTCAGAGACCATCCCCATCTACCTACAAGGCAAACGGGGAAACAAGATGTCAGTTGACTGCCCCCACTAAGTAATGGAATAGATCAGTGGGGACCAGAGAGAGACAAATTGATCCAGTTGGTTCATTGAAGAAACATCCATTTTTTCCAGACTAATGTAATCAAGCAGTACATTTTGATATTGATTCACACACACTAAACTGCTTTTTTGATTTCCACTAAAAATAAGTGACCTGTTTCAGACAAACATATTAAAATTACAACAATAAATAAAACAGCTGACTCACATCAGTAATTAAAAGTATTTAAGCCCAGGGAAAGGTGAGCTCTGGGCCAGAGTGCCATTAGTGTGGTTTTAGCTAGTGAGCTGTGTGTTTGTGTGGTTGCAGCTAGCAAGCTGTGCGTTTGGTGTATTTGCAGTTAGTGAGCTGCTCTCTCTTTTTGACTTACTTTTTACTTTATTGACCAACGCTTGAGTTTTGTTTGTTTTCCTTAAATGGTGATAGCGGCTTGTCCGTCTCTTTTAGTTGAGCGAAAACTATTTAATTTAACCTCCTTGACTCCTTTTCCTGACCCGGACACTTTTTGTTACTTCCCCCTCACCGCCTAGACCCCTCAGGGGAATGTAACAAGTGGGGGCTCGTCCGGGATCCAGATTTGTTCTCTCCCCTGCCCGACAATACAAATATATTGAAGCATCACTTTGAACAGAGGGCTGGGGGCTGTTTTGCACCACTGGGTAAGGGGGGCCCACTGCCCCATTGCCCAATTACCCCCTGGGCCGCCCTTTCACCGTCTGACCATGCCCTGCTACAATGGCTCCACTGCGTGAAGGATGTCAATGCCCAGATCACACAGTGGTGTCTGGCTTTACAGCCTTTTAAGTTTACAGTGGTCTATAGGGCGGGGGCACAGATGGCTGTGGCTGATTTCCTCTCCCACTTGCAGTGTATCAAGTTGGCTAGGTCAGATGTCTCACCGGCCTAAGTCAGGCAGTGGGGGGGGTGGCGGGGTGAGGTTGGTGGCACGACTGCAGGGGGGGAGTGGTAAATGGTAAATGGACTGGTTCTTATATAGCGCTTTTCTACTTTATCTGAGCACTCAAAGTGCTGGAGCAGTGGGTTCAGGATGTGGTGGTAAAGAAGGAAGAGCTTCACAGGTGGTGAGCATCTTCTAATCATGCCATCTCTATTTCAGTAGCAGCCGTGCTGGAGAGGAGGAGAGAGCTGCCGAAGCAGTGAGCACTCCAAAGTGCTGAAGCGACAGTGACATTAAGCAAAATCACAGGGCCAACAGTCGTGTTGATTGCCTTAGGATAGAAGCTTGTTTTTGAGTTTTAAACTCTCTGGTTTAAATCATATCTATCTAATAGACTCCAATTTATTCATGTAAATGGAGAGTTTTGGTCGCACACTAAGGTTAATTATGGAGTTCCACAGGGTTCCGTGCTTGGACTCCAAATCACCTCATTAGAGCTTTTGACTCTCAGACTGCAGGCTTACTTGTGGTGCCAAGAGTGGAGGGCTTTCCAGAGCTTTATGTTTTGTTCGGTAGTTTCCACATCTGTATTTCAGGCTTTGCTGCCACCCATAGGTTCTAATAAAAGATCCAGTGTCCTTTAATCAGGGATGCTTCTCTACAAGTGCCTGTGCCAGTGCAGGTCTTTGAGCATCATTGGGGTACGCTGTGTAGAAAAAAATGGCCTCTGCCAGGTGCTCCCAGATGTCAGATTTTACACTTGCTGTCAATGTCTTCTGTTAAATAAATGATTGATACTGTGCATCATGCTTCTCTGAGGTTCATCACTAACCGTATATCTCAGACTCACCACTGTGCGTTATACTCTCTGGTAGAATGGCCTGCTTTGGAAATTTGGAGGAACTCTTATTTATACAGTTTTATATATAAGGCAATACTTGGGTTGCCACCTTCTTATATATGTTCCCTGCTTGCAATGAAGCATGCTGTTCGGTATTCTCTTCTTCCACATGGTAACTTGTTGCTTTCTGTTCCATTTGCCCGAACTGAATTTGGTAAAAGAGCTTTTGTCCATTTAGCACTCTTGGCTTGGAATGAACTGCAGAGCGACTCGAAAATGACTGAATTCATCTCATTAAGTGCTTTTAAATCTAATCTCAGAATCCTTGAGGACAAGTCCGTAACATGCAACTGTTTCAATTAGATTGATTGTCATTTTAACT